CATTAAGCAAAAGAAGGCGGAATATAAATATATTGAAGAAAAATCCTATCTGAGAATTCAAAGGCTTTCATTGAATTCAAAAACAATGAGATAAAAAAAAAGCGATCGACAATATGGTCATCGACCTCATGATCTCATGAGGATTAATCGTTTCGCCCATTTTTTTTAATTCGAAAGAAGGGATTTTACTAATTAATTTGTACACTTTGTCTCTTCTGGACCTTCAGATTATTTTATTAAGTCATGGATGCGGGCACTAGAGTGATGATACATAAAAAGTGTTTGTACCCTAGAGAGAATATCTTGTAGCTTCTATTGTGTGTACAAATAACGTGTTATAGTATTTAGTCCTTCTGATAGCTTGAATTATGACTTAACGCCGACAGTAGCCTGGTCTTCCTACAATCCACCACATATAACGCAATAATCATTTAATTCCGGCAGTTGTACGCGCAGTGGTTGGCGCCAAGTCAATCTAAGCCTACCGGATATGCCTCTTTCGTCTGTCGACTCTTCGGTTGCTGACGTAATTCACGATTTCGAACTTTAAATGATCAGCCATCGTATAATTAATTTAATAATCTTTCTTTTCAATTGGCGAGTCAGTTAAAAATATTATAATCGAATAAAAATGTCTTTATGCTCAAGAAGTTGATAATAATTTTCTCTTTTCTTTGTTTTTTCTTTTCATGACTATTTATTTTGGTCGAATGAATCAGTTGATTTCTTTTTTCTAAAGATTTGTTGATGAGGTAGTAAGAAACCTTGAACTTTATTGGTAAGGAAAATTTTTTATCTTTATACTTCTGAAACAAATGTAAAAATTAGAATAATTTAAATATTTTCTTTACAGTGGAGGAGGTTCATTATAAATGATAAAATAGTAAATAATATTAATAAATTACATTCAATCTATATTTTGATTTAGAAAAATTTTTTCACATTTATATCAAATTATTTTATAAATATCTTTGAAAAGCTGTTAGCTTTTCATGATTTTTTATTAATTTACATTAACATTTTGGTTTTCCAACAATTTTTTATTAATATTTATTAAATATTATTTCTTTATAAATATTTATTTTAATGAATTTTTTTTTCAACATCACATAAATGTCTATTTTTTTTAGGTATGTTTTTTTGTTATTGCAAAAGTTCTAAGATAAACAAAGCAATGTGCTTTAATAAAATAAACTTCGACATCATTTTATTTTTGCTCGAAAAATGAATATTTTAAATTATTTATAATTATTTTTTGGCAATAAATAGTTCTCATTAACCAGTAATAACGATGAGAATAATTTTTTCTTTCATTTAGTTGACAAAAATATCTGATATGAATTGATTTCTATGCATAATAATAAAAATTTAATCTCTCAATAAATTCCAACCATTCATTTAGAGCAATAATCAATAGATAAAAACATAAAATTTAGATATGAGGAATTCCAATCGACTTACTGGCTTCATTGTACAATTGCGTAAATAGAAAGTGGCAAGCGGTACTCTTGCACTTCATCACCCCCACACCGAGCGGGCTAATGAATATCGGCCCTAAATATCAGTCCACAGGGAGTCGAGTGTTGAGAGAATGTGGGGGCATCACTGCTCCACATATGTCTGTATATTGTAGGGGTATCGTAACACAAATACGGGCCACACAGTGTGATACTAAAATGCTTCAATGTATGTGTATTATTACGCGGGGGTAAACGGAGAAACGCGTAAAGCGTGCTAGGGTTGGTCACGCTCGTTTGTCCCCCGTTAATTCTAGCTGAAACATACACATGAGTATGTACTCTGAACGTGCCATATGCTTGCTCTCATACCGATGTGTCAATGTCCTTGCTCTCTTTCTCGTTTACTCATTTTCTCACTTTTTCTAGATTCGTAGGATTTTTACCAGCGTGAAATAGAGATTCAGGAAATGTATAATATCCGATAGAAATAAAATAAAATAGATTATGATAATATTAAATAAATATATGCTAATGATAATGTCAACAACGTCATTTGATAAATATCTTCATTTCTATGATCGTCACATGATCGATCTCACAAATTTATTCTCATTTATTCATATAAATAAAGATTAGATTAATTGATAGAGTTCAAGGTAAGTCAATAAGTAATCAGAAAACGGAAGGAAATTTTTATTCATTATTTTGCTTTGATTATTAAAATCATTTCTATGAGTTATTTATACTATAATTATTTTACAAAAACATTTGATTTTTTAAATATTAAAAAAAATTACAAATTTTTTATAAATAATAATGAAAATTTTTTTTTATTTTTAATACAAACAATAAATTGTGTAGAAATAATTGAATAATATTAGTTTTTAAATTTTGTTATTTATTGCAAAAAATGTTTTAAAGTATTAAAAAAATTACTTTCTCTTTTTTAATTGTTCGATATTGAAATAAAAAGGTATATAATATTGAAACTGTTAATAAAGATGTAGGTGAAGATTAGATAGAAAGTAGGCAAAGATTGATAATTATTAAATTCAAAGTAAATCAATAATCAAACAATAACATATTGAATTTATAACCAAGATTAAATAATTCCAATAATGAACTGAATTATTTACTTTAATTACTTTAATTGACAATTTAAAAATATATTTAAAAAGATATTAATATAAAAACTAATAAGTTTTCTATCAAAATATTCAAATTTCAAGGATATATTAATTCCGACTGTCCTCTTAATTCTTTTATATTAATTTATAGATTATTTTAGATCAGTAGAAAAGTTTGTTCTTTTTTCTCAACAATGAGAACAGCAGGAAAAAAAATAGTATCAATATTTTAGTAAATAACAATACCAGCAGGAGTCCATCTGCGCATTATTTTATATCTCAAATGAAAACAACCCTGATAATATTTTTTATTTATTTTCATATCCCATGTATGTTTTTCTGGTGGTACCCATCATGAAGACCGCCAACTGTCACCCACATAATACACAGTGACACCCAATTGGTAATAAAGACAATCACTAATAAGCCAAAGGCTCGATTGAAAGTGTGAGTCACTCTCTCTTTTTCTCTAGGCGTCAGACATGGCAATGTTGTGGGTGGTAATGGGCTTAATATTAAGAAGTTAGGGAGAGTAAATGCCGGATTGAAATTGTGGCGCCTCTAATCATCTTCGTCCGTCATATAAATGACCTTCAGAATTGTTTATTTCCACCTGCAGTAGCCATTTAAATAAATTGAAACAATTTTGCATATTTTTTCATGACAATTTTTTGCTGCCAATTTTTTTGTGCTTTCTCCTGAGAATTTTCCTATCTTTCACGTGTGGTAAGTGAGTAATTTCCCTGTTGCAAAAGATAAAGCGAAGACTAGGCTAAGTCTCAGGGGAACAGGCGACGAACCAAGTGAGCGAGTATGATTGATGCATCTATACAGAGTGTGTATGGAAATTTTTATACTCGGTTTCTTCTTTTTTTTTCCTTCCTCCTTCGTGTATATTTGTATCTAATACACTTTTATATCACAGTTATTCAATAGACTTATACAACATTTATATATCTGAATGAAAAATAACTTAATATGTATCCATAAAGATTAATGAAGTTAAAGAAAACTAAATGATTCATTCGTTACATCAATAAAAATCTGAATCATGAATTGATTTAATCGATGGCAAGCGGACCACTTGAAATATAATCTTTAATCATATTGACTCTTATTTACGATAAATTCACACTTCTTTCTTTTCTTTTATAATATAATGAATATGTTTTGGAGTCTGTCACGAAAATTTTTAATAATATCTATTTAATATTTTAATTGAAGACTTTTATTTAATTTAAATCATTTTTTTCTCAAGCCACACAACAAATTCATTGAATATTATCAAGACTAAAAGATTCAATTGAATGATTTTTTTTATGAAAAATAATAAACATTAAAAAATAAGAATCTAAACCTTATCAAAGTACTCTCTGACTAGAGTTTATTTGTATAATGAAAAAAAAAAAATGCAATTTATTAAAAAAAGTATTAACGATTGGTAATCAATTTGTATAATAAATAAAGTTTCACTATCAGTCTTTTAAAGTTAGTGAATATTGAAAAAGCTCATCGAAAGCTCCGGAAAAAAATTTAGTTCAATCCATAGCTATCAAGAATTCTAGTGTCCCTGGAAGGACCTCAGCGAAACCTCGAAATTATGAGTCTTCCCCACAAACCCGGGATTGCTCGTGTTTCTGGTTCACGTTCATTTCCTCATCCTTTTTCCCCTCAGCTTGATGTCGGATCACTTTGTCTTCTTCGTTCCCACTCTTTAGCCTCCTCGAAGTACTTCTCATCGTATACTACTACGGTGGTTGCGTGTGCGCGCGATTCGATCTCAGCCTCGCTCTCGCGAAAACGCAGTCCACAGGAGAGAAAGAGAGGCATGATCAGACACACGATCTAGCGCAGTAGACCAGCATGCTGGAGAATAAATAGTGGGGGAGAAATTTTAGTAGGCGTGGCAAGTATGGGCGTGGTCTTCTATGAAAATCCCTGACTCTCTTCAGCTTCTCTCTGTTGCTCTTTGAATCACCCCCCTTCTTACTAGGATTTTCCAACGCACGTTCATCCTTCTCTTGCCCCGCTCTTTCACAATCTACTCTTCACTGATGGTCTCATACACGTTGTGCTCAGATCCACCAACTTTGTCCGTCAACACACGGGGGGCTGGAGGCACTATCAGATCCGTTAACAGCAGTCGACTGTCGAGGTGCACCCGTTATCAACGTCTCTCTCCTCCCTCGGTGTCAGCATTCACGACTATAACCGATCAAATTTTCCTCATTTCCCTTGTTATTATTATTATTTTTATTCTTTTTCATAATAATAATTATTATTATCACTGTTGTTGTTATTATTTTTTACTACGTTTCTTTCTTTTTTATCATCATATTTATCTCATGTCACTTTTCTGCCCTACTCCATCGCGTGGATCATAAAATCTGTGCTTGAAAAAGTGGGAGGGTCGTCTGGAAAGATACTAACGAGAAGTCGCCGTCGCATTTCAGTATCATACGCTCAATCGTGAGGACAAGATCAGTTTAGGAAAAATAACAAAACTTGTGACAAGAAACTATTAAACGTTTGCGTGTCTTTTGTAAATATTGTGCGGTTGTTATCTTATTTTAAATTACTCTGTTTTATTTTATTAAATTAAATTGTTTTTATTTGAGAAGAGATATAAAAAACATTAGTGCATTCGTATGAAGTGGATTAAAGGATTGTAATTTTATTTGAGAAACAATTATTCTTGGTTTATAATAAAGCTGCTGATAATTAGAACCATGATGGAGGTTCAGCAGCAGCATTCGCCGGTTGGCGTCGGTCCATTGGATTTTTCTCGACGTGGTGTTGCCGAGGCGTCGGCATTTCGAGTAGTCAAACCTAAACAACCACCGTCGTCACTTGTTCATCAACAACCACTTGTTCCTGAAGCTAATAATAATGAAAATATTGCTGATCATTCAAGAATTCCTGTTGAAGCTGGTGAGCGTTTTTAATCATCTTTTTGCCAATTTCATCTTCTTCAAAATCTGTATTTTAAACTTATTTTATTCCAAAAACACATTTCAAATCTTTAGAAACAATCATTTTATCTAAATCATCAATACTTTTTTAAATATCATCACAAAAAAATTCAAAAATATTTCTAAAATCATTTGCTTTTTAATTTTTATTATTATTATTTTATTATTTTTACCTTCATTAATATAAATTAATGTTCATTATTAAAATGACAAAAAATATTTTATTATCAGTATAAAGTAAAAGAAAGAATTCACAACCAAATGTATTTAATTGCCAACGAAGAATTGAATGCAACGTCTGTTATCAGTCAATCCATTACCTGCCTATTATCCTTGCACTGACCCACCTCTGTTTCGCATTCGATGCAACGATACCTGGAATTCCATGTTCCCTTCATTTGTCAACGAGTCCTTCAATCAGCGATTCGATAGTTAAAAGTAACGAAAAAAAATGGTAGATTAATCAATGAATAATTTTTAAAAAAATATCTTTGATAAGTTTCTTGATGTTAGCAAGCTTTTTGTGAGCTTTCACATAAAGTGAAAATATTTCTAGTTAATTAGGTAAACATGAGACACTTAATGGAGAAAGATAGAATAGTTGCGTGTCAGGTGCGTGACTCGAACTCTGTTCAACAGGTGTACGTGATGCTCAAGCATTATATCAAGGGTGTATACACGCAATGTGTCTGTCTATAGACAAGCAGTTAATATCCGTTAATGTGACTGACAGCTTAACCCAATAGTACACCTATAACAGAGAGCTTGTGCGTCTAAATGGCTTGAGTTGATTATAATTGCCAGGTAAATGACAGCATTTAATTTATAGCAACAATCAATTGCTCCATTTTCTGCTAATATTTTAGTGAATGTCGATTATGTGGAATATACTTTAATCCAGCCTTCTTATGTATATCCTAATTAATTTCATGTTGCTGGTTTATGGGATAAAAATTTCCAAGAATTTATATTTCCTTCAATAAAAGATTAGAAAAAATTGCTAATTACAAAATTATAAAAATCTGTAATTGACTTTGAAAATTGCAACATTTCATCATCTACTTTTGCATATTGAAAGAAAAGCAATTATTATTTATAACTGCAGAGAATTTTATTGAATAAATGTGAACGATTTTTATCATTTTTTTTCAATAAATCAAGAAGAATAAATTAAATTGTTTAATACTTTTACAAATAATTGGATTTTTCAATAATAATTAATTGAATCAAAAAATATGTCCTTTAATTACAATTGATTAAAAAAAAATCATATATTATTGTAGAATAGTTTCAATTGGAATATTAATTTTTCTGTAATAAAAGTATTAAAAGTATTGGAATTTGAATAAATCCTAAAACAAGATGGTTAAACAAATGAATTATTCAATTTAAACACTTTAATTTGTCTTTGTAATATATATATATTCCAATAACATTATATCCTATAACATTATAATGTTATAGAGACCTTGAAACTGCTTGTATTCAATAAAATTAGTGTATTATTCTATGAATAGATTAATTACATTGTCAGTATGAATCAGTTTTATATCATTCAAATATTTGATATTTAATAAACATACACAAAGCTGACTTTTCATCAAAAGAAACAATTTTTTTCATGTCGGACTAAATACAGGAATAATCACTGATTTAACCTCAAACTACAAATAAAAAAATTGTTTGATAAAAATACTATTTAAAAAAAAAAGGTAAAAGTTTAATGAAAATAATTATCTGAAAGGAAATAATAATTTTAGTATACTTTGACGCGTATCTTGTAACTGCAGAAATCACGCTGGATTTGCGATTTATAGATTTACGACTTAAGTGATAGCAAGTGAGGATGTGTTAAAACTGCCTGCATACACCTGGATGTGATGATATCGTTGGTCTATACTCTTTCTTCTTGTTGTAGCTGGGCTTTTTCTTTCTCTTTCTGTTCCGACAAACATTCACTCTCAACACTGCAACGCTCGTTATCATTCCCGAGTGTGTGTTTACTTCTCTCTCTTTTTACTTGTACACATATAACAGGGAAAATATATGATTTATTCTCGATAATCCGGGGCGCGAGATAGCTTTGCGGCAAGGCTGTCTAATCTGTATGACAGAGGGACCTCGTCGGCCTATCGGAGGATTATCCGTGCTCCTATTGCTTGGATTACATTTTTTCTTTGTTTTCCTACTTTTCTCACATCATCATCTATTTTTGAATTGCTGCCTAAGTTTTTCACTTTTCATTTAAAAATCATTTCAGGAGTGTCTGACTCACTGTATTTTTTTTCGATTGAAAACTTTTATAAAATAACAATCAACTTTTTTAAGTTTGCATTTTTTTCGCAATAAAAAATAATGTAGCTTTTTGAACAATATTTAATTTTAGAGTAATTTTCAGAATAAAATAATAAATTTTAAGATTATCAACTAAATACTCTCTTAAACGAATCAGTGAATATTTACTGATTATTAGTACCAATCCGATTACTGATTTACGCAGTGATTTAATGATTTAATGAGTAGTTAATAATTTTAATCAATTTAGAATAAGAACCATTTTCTTATAAAGAAATTTTAAAAAATGATTTCAATTAGATCCTAGATGTAATTGAAATTTAAAAATTTATATAAATGTATCATATTATTAATATTTTATATTTTTCGAGTCCTTTTTCTCTCCAATATTACGATTAAAAACTTTTTGATAATGATAATCGTTGATAGAAGAGAATTTCGAACAATATACTATGAATATGTGACTGAATAAATAAATTTAGGATTTTTTAATACTAAAAATGATGTTGATAAATAGAGAACTTCTCATTCCTTCTATTCTTCTAATAAAGACGCCCTTGTCGAGGGGTTGATCTTCAGGACGTCTAAAGAATACTAAATTTACTCTCTCGTGTATTCAAGACGTTAGCATTAAATTCTTTCGCCTGAAAAATCCTTCTGGCTTTTTTCCCGAAAATTGTACTCCATCAATTGCCCAAGAAATGTAAGATTTAAGAGAACAACTTAATTGAACTAACAAGTTTGTGTATTTCATTTATTACAGCAGAAGGATGCAATGTCAGGTTGATGTTTCCAAGACTTTGGGAGCCTTTTGGAAATACGAGTGTCACAACCTTACCTACTCTTGACAAAAATAGTTCAGGTGAGATAATATCAATAAAAAATTCATATCCAGATTTCTGCACATAAAAAATCTTTCATCTTTTAAAATACTTCATTTTTACTCCAAAAGCAAAGGGAAAAATTTCATTTCAAATGGACCTAATTAGCTACTTAAACCAGATAAATAATTTCAAAAAATTATTAACAATCTGTTATAATAATTAAATTACAATAACCGGTCATTGCTTGAAAACTAATTAATTATTAAATATTTGGATTAAACAAACTTTTAGCTCTTAAAAAATGCCTTGAATTCTTAATTAAACAGAATTTGAATATAAAATAATCCTCTAAATTAAAGGCGTAGTCTGATAATGATAATGTATTAAATCATAGATTATTTAAGGGTTAAAATAACTGATGCATGATTTAATTGTATTGAATATCGACGATTTAAATAATTTCATCAATGAGACAATGTTTTGACCTATGACCCTTCTTCCACTTACTTCCTTTACTCCCGGATGACGGCAAGTTTTTCTTTATCAATCGTCATAAGTACAACCAGTCGTCCGATGATTGGGATAAATGGTAGCACGCGTCATGCGCAGCCTTTCTCTCTCATTCTTTCTTTGTCATATTCACTTACGTAGCATATATCTATACAGTCGTTTATTTTCCTTGTTCTTCTGTTGCTGCAGCAGTCTCCCCGCCGTCGTCGCCGACCGTCACCCCAATTGGAGCAGATTAGAGGCGCAACACAGGGATTCGGTTGGTCGGCCCCTTTGTACTCGAGCGCCGGTTGTGGCGGCGGATCTCTCGTATAGTGTACCTACTCTGAATTAGTAACGTCTTGTCATGTTAAACGCACCCACATACGAGTCGCGGTACCTCGCACGTGACCGCTCGCTTTACCCTTCTCCCTCTCTTTATTCGTTCAAACCATTAAAGTATTTCAACGAAATTGAAACAGATTATACGCCTCCCGCACACTACTAAACACACAATCAGACTCAACTCAAATTCTCTCAAACTTTATAGATACCAGAAACATTCAAAATTCTGTGAATAAAATGCTACAATTGATTTTAATTATTCAAAGAATTTATTTCTTCTGCAGGAAGAATTTTATTGCTCTTTCTTAAAATGGTAATGCATTTTTGATCAGTTTTTTAGCACAGTTAATAATAAAGATATTTTGTAAGACGATTTTTTAAATAATTGAAAAAAATATAATTATTTTAGTTGTTTATAGTTTGGATATTAAATAACAAATAAATTGATATTGAAATGTTGGGGGAACGAAAGAGCGATAACCCTCAAAAGGTTTTATCGAATTACAGAAAAATCAATTGGTAAATTTGTCGTAAGAACAGTTGGGGTTTAAATATTTATTCTGCAATTATTGACACTACTTTTTGAAATTATTGGCAAAATATAAAGTATCCATTATTTCAAGATACTTTAATAATTATACTTGAAATTCTATTATCATCTAATATGATAAATTGATCAAATTATTGAAAAATGTAATTTAATAAATAAAAATATTAATACAGTCTAAAGAGAAAATTATTTTTGTTTCTTTATTTTTATCAAGGAATATATAAGGAAGTAATAAAACTTATATCTTTTAGTATCACTTGATAAAAATAGCTGAAAAATAACTAGTTATTTTTGTTTATTAAATCCTTCAATTATATTTTTTTGATCAATCTATTCCTAGCTAAGAGGAGGTAGTAAGTGGATATATAAATAACAAAAGCGGATCGTTTCTTACCGATAAACGACTGACGACGGAGGATTAAAGTTGGCCATTAACTCGATCTAATTGTCTCCCCCAGTTTGGCCTTCCTTTATTAATCCCAGGGGCCGTCTATGATCATCGACTACTTGGTTCATAGACATCAAGTCACCCATCGTATTGATATACTTTCTGAATGATGCTCTAAATAAACCAACAAATCTTACGTGTCTTCATAAAATAATCTTTGTTATTGTTGTTACTGTATTCAAGTGTTTAAATACTTTAATACTCGAATTATCATCATCTGCAACTGAAAATGATGATACTGCAAAAAATAGGCTGAATTGAATAAATGAATGCAACATGGAGTGATTATCAAAATAAAGTAAAATAAATGAACGGAAATAAACTGAATGAGCTTGCAAAGTATAATAACCCGGACGTCTTCGTTACACTTCTTGAACTGCATTTTTCCTTTTAATTTTATTTTCCTGCCATCTGCTGCACTTTTTCTCCAACATTCGGCTACCACTCTCCGAGATACTTTTTACCGCATTCTCGACGCGGCATTTGCGTAAGCAGTTGTCTTCCAATCCTTTACTTTCGTCGTCTTAAGCTTCACACACTTGCATACAACCTTTTTTTTTCAACAAGTCAACTTTTTGTTGCTCTAATGATAAAATGTTTAACTTAATAAAAACAACGTTTAATCTCTCTAAAGAGAATAATGAAAGTATATATGTTTAATTTAAAATGACAATAAAAGCTGAACATTTATTTTACCATGAAATCAGTTTTTAAAAGATTACAAAAAAATTGCTTATTATATTTTAGAAATTTTTTTGTGTGTATAAGAATATAGGTTTTTTTTCTAAATAAATTAATTAAAAATGAAAGAAAAAGTAATAGTTTAAAACATGAAAAAAATTGAACTCACAAAGAATTTTTAAAAAATTTAATTAAGAAAAAAATAAGTTTAAAGGAGGAAAAAAGTAAAGTGATTAAATGATAAATGTTTAAAAATATTTACTCACACTGAGTTATGAAAATTGAGTTAAAAATTGATATATGAGAAAATCTTTGACGTTTTTATTTGATTGGAAATCAAGAAGCAGTTGCTTTACAATTTTGTTCCATCCCTCTTGATGTCTCCCCAAAAATTTAGGGGTGCAGCCGGTTGGTTTTAAACGCGATTATGGCCACTTTCTATATAATGTACTCAGACACGTGCTCGCGTGGCACTCGCGTGGATTATAAATATGATATAAGGCCAAGGGATAATAGTTTGACGTGTTTTGGAAATATATTGGACACCAATGATCTGCCACATTCCAACTAAATACTTGTCTTTCTCCTCTTTATTCTTAATTGTCAATATTATTTATTGACTTCCCTTAATTGCTCTTAAATTCTTGACAATAAATCATATATAAATATAATAAATAATAAATATAAATACAATACAGACAAAATGATTTTGAAAAAATAATGAACTTTGTAGAGAAAAAGAGTAAATTTTATATTTTATTTCTTGAATCTTTTTCATGCTAGTATTCTTCTTTTATAAAAGTAGAGAGTAGAAATACCTTTGGAATTTCTATGATTCCATTTTTCCTTAGCCGACTCGTTAGTCCGATGCACTGCCTTCATCCTCGAAACTCTTGCCCTCAAAGACTTCCTTGCAGTACGTGACTTAAATCTTATTTCACAAGAGACTCCCAGAATAAAATATATTCTATACTTTTTTTTTTATACATGTTCTTCCACGTCAATCCGGTTGCTTCAGTTTGTCGAAAATAAATCTGATGATAAAAATTTATAATAAAAAGATTCTTAATTAATTATTGGCGGTAAGAAACTTTACCATAGTGAAAAAAAGTTATTTGGAATTTCTAAAATAAAAGATAACTTCGATGTACATATGAAAATTTCCTCAAAGATTTATTTGATATAAATAAATAAAACTATTAAGAAATTTTTTTTGTACAATTTTCAGAGCGATTATCTTTTGGAGTAGGACGCTTAGTTGGTTCTCCGGTAACAAGAAGTCCATCACCATCTCATTCATTAGGTCCATCATCTCCAAGAACATCGAGAGATCCGGAAGTTGATGTAGATGTTGAAGAAGACGAAGAAGAGGAGGAAGAAGTTGACGTAGACGTTGAAGAAGTTGGAGACGATGAAGAAATAGAAGCAAAAGGTTCAAGCCTCTCACCTAGATCTATACACTCAACACCATCTCCATCTCTAGTCCACGGATCCTCCTCACCATCGACTCGTCCTCCAAGAAAATCCGGAGACAGTTTTAGTGTTTTGGCTCTTCTCAGGCCAGATCCACCAACAAGTCAACGAAATTTGTCGCCTGCATCTCCAGATGCCACTACTGTTACAACTGTTGCTCGACATCAACCTGGACCTGCTGCTCCAAATATTGGTCTTTATCCACCACTTCATCTTCAAGGGGGACTTTTGCCACCTCATCCGCATCATCCACTTTCTTATTTACACCCACAATTACTTCCTCACCACCTTCTACCTCCCCACCTTCATCCACTTTTAAGGGGAGTTCATCCCACACATCCAGGAATCCATTCGTCTCACACAAGTCATGGTCTTCATCATCCTCATCCGCTTGGAGATGTCTACAGTTGTGTTAAATGTGATAAAATGTTCAGTACACCACATGGTCTTGAGGTATGGATTACATGAAGTTTTATTTTTCATTTCTTGCCGAGTAAATCTGTTCTCTTAATGAATTTATTTTAACTTCAATCAAGTTTTAATAAGATACAGATGTGTTAAATATAATATTACTATAATTATTATCATTTATTTTACTAGCAATAATACCGTAATTTTGATTAAAAGATTTTTTAAACAAAAGCCCTAACAAGCTTGTCGAATATAATAAATATCAAAAGAAAGATGAAGAAATACAAAATTATTCAATTGATTTAATTTTTTAGGTTCACGCAAGAAGATCTCATAATGGCAAACGTCCTTTTGCCTGTGAACTGTGCAATAAAACATTTGGCCACGAAATAAGTCTGACTCAACACCGTGCAGTGCACTCAGCAGAGAAGGTGTTTGAATGCAAGCAGTGTGGGAAGTCGTTTAAGAGGTCAAGTACGTTAAGCACTCACCTGCTAATTCACTCAGACACTAGACCATATCCTTGTCAGTTCTGTGGAAAACGGTTTCATCAAAAGAGTGATATGAAGAAACACACATATATCCATACAGGTATGTTATTTGTATCAGTATCAATTTTTAATATTTTACATTCTATTTTAAACCTCTGTATCATGGTTTCATTAAAGTTACTAGAGAATCGAACAAATTCACATCAATTAGCAGAAGCTAGACTAGCTGGTACTAATAATTCATAGAGTCTGGATGAGTTGGTAACGAAAATTTATCTCTTTCAATTTCTCTTGCACTTGTTTCTTTCTCTCTTTTCTGGCGTCCACATATGTAGCAAGGGTGCGGCGCACGCCCGGTAATAATTGTAATGCCCTTTTCCATGCCTCCAGCCCTGAATAATACTCATCTCCCCATTGGTCTATCATTTCTCCCTACTGATGTCTGGTCTTCGACTCTTGACTGCCACCAGGGATGCGACCCCGGCAATCTTCAAATAGATTTTTACTACTGACGAATTATCGCGCGTGGGAACAAGCTCGCGCCCTCCTGAATATCAACTTTCACTGATTTTGAAGTCGTGGGATTCACTTGTTCGCTATTGATGACTAAACTGGAGCAAGGAAAAAAAAATGAGAGTGAAGTGAAGGAAACATTTGACACTTTGGTGTCGTAGGTTGATGGAGTGAGAGCTTGAGAAAGTATAGAGGGTGGCAAAGAGGATGAGAAGAGGCTCAGAGGCGTGGAAGAGGGTGAATCTTTCTTCATCCCTCGTATCAAGGGTCTCTGGGTTTTGTATCGTCGCCATGGTAACACTCCAATGTCTTATCAAATTATCACCTTGTCCTCTTTTGCAGCTTTCTCGTGGCACTTCTTCCAGCCTCCTTCGGCCCTCCTATTTATGTCACTTCTTTTTTGTGCTACTACACACCCTCTATACTTATTCTGACCCTTCGACGCCTAAGTGAAGCTTCAGTCGAAAAAAAGCTGCACAAAGCAAAACTGTTGGTCACTACTCTGATAGCTACTAACAACCTTAGGGACTAGAATTATTCGCGACAAAATGTTCCAAGAGCCATTTGCTATGGAACATTTAATTCATTATTCAGGTTGGGGACATTCTCGCAAGTTTAACAAATAATTCTTGGAGAGCTACAATCTGTTTTATTAGTATTCTTCTTTATTATTACAGTTATTTTATAATTCGTCATTTCATTTCTATTATTTCTTAATGTTTAAACCCACTATTAAAAATGAATAAATTTCTCAAGTTTTACAAATAATCAAATTGATGCCTCAATTAGTGACCTAGAACTCATATTTATTTAATTACGTTCTGTAAAGTTGATTCAGGGTCACTGTGTATGATTAAAACGAATTTTTCTCAGAGTTTATTGACAATATTTTCAGTTGTTAACACAAGTATAATTTTTTTCAACAAATTTCTCCTAGTTAATTTTAATATTTAATGATAATAATAATAATAAATACAATTATTTTCGGAATTAAAATCAAGCTGAGAAAAATGAGAAGTATTTCAAAACTATTTTTTACAAGGCTATGAATGTATGTTAAAAGACGTTGGATCTAATTAAAATATTTTTAATTAAATTATTGATTGAACATAAAGTAAAAGAGGGTGAGAGAAGCATATAATACAAGTGCAAAATCTCATCTAGCCTAGAAGTGATAACGTGACGTGCTGGCATACGTGATGCGTGTCGAGGTCATACGATTGTCCCGAGCGACTTGAAGCTCTAATGATAATCAGACAGAGCTAGTGACTATAGTTTCTGTCTATGGTTGTCGTCTCACCCCCTGAGTACTCGGGCCATGTGCAACGAGGGTGCGGCATCGCAAGGTTCCCTCGGGAACGGCGTGTGGCGTTACGTAAAATCATTATTAGGTAGCTTGACTGTAGGTATTGTTCATTGGTGACACAGACTGCGTGAGGAAAAAAAAAATGAATGAGTGATAAAGAGGAGACAAACGAGAGAATAAATAAACCTGACGAAATACCGACAATGGAATGAGTGCTCGGCAAATATTGTTCGGCCGCTGGTATTTCGCGACAATTAGTTTCCACGCGTTTTCGGGTGTTCTTTGTGGCTAAAATCCTGGAAATTTTCGCGCGTTTTCATTGCCATTCTGTCCAATAACAGAAAATATTTTATTTATACTTGAAATCGTGATAAAAGTTTATTTTACTTATTAAAAGAATATATATTTTTTTTGTACTTCAATGACAGTTGTCAATAAAATTTTTATTATTAATTTTTGATATTTATTTTATTTTTAAATTCATTTTCCATTTATCAATAAACAATAAATTATTTAAATAACATTTTTTATTTTATTAAAATTAATATTTAAATGCACTAGATGATTGATTTTCTTTATCAAAGCAAATCTTGAAACACTTACAGATAGATTTCTACTATTCTTGACACCATAAATATTTTTATTTGAAATGTTTCACCAATTATTATAATTATTTTTATTCATAATAAGAATTAGGAATATACTTTATCCTATGTTTAACTTGTAAAAGAGTGATCATATCTCCTCGGATGTGTTAAAGCAAAAATAATTCCAACCAACTGGTGACACAAAGCAGCAAGTGTACTTGCTTTCAGATAAACCCCAACCCCTGAAATGTAAACACGTGAATGTAATCTCTGGTCATTCTGCTTGGTGGTCTAAAATAACCACCACTTACTACTTAACCAGATCAATTCAGCTTTGTATTATTAAATATTATTTTATCCAAATTTTATCATTTAAAAACATTCATTTTTATTATTTCTAAGGTGAATAATTCTTGCTAATGAAATATTGAAAGAGCTGAAGAGATCATTTTCTATTAGTACTAGAGAACTGGTGAAAATGTTAAATAGATTCGCACAAATGTCTCTTTTATTAACTCCCTTATCCTTCTCTTCATTCCGTTTGTCCCTCAGGTCGACAAACGCAAAGTACTCTTTTACGATCAACCCCATGTTTTGACAATAAACACGACCTGTTCGATTGACGTCGAACAAAGTCGAGAACGATGGAGAGAACAATTTCACGCTCTCTCCTCTTTGCTATCTTCACTTTCTCTTCTCCCTTATTTCTAGAAAAAATTCAATTAACAGATACACTCATGAAACATGTGTTTCTCCATCAAAGTTTGAGAGTAGAATTAAAAAAAATAAATAAAGTCAGAGAGAGGATGTATAAATATAAAAGTTATTTTTTGAACATAATAGAGTTTTATTTTTTTATGAAAAAAAAATTTTTTTGTTAGTATTTTGTAAAGTCTTGTGACGATGACAGTGAATAATTCAAGTAGTCAGAAGTGCACGAGAGTGGTTAGTTCCATAAGTCGAGTAGTGCGAGAGTACATAGGTTGCTTTTGCGCACTATCTCTGCTATTAGAGGTTTCTGGCTGACTAGTAGACTACTAGGGACTACTCTTGTGCCATATTTTCGGCTCACCGACACCGCAACATCCCTCTAAGCTGTTTAAACTTTGCGACAACAGACAAAGGGATGTATAATGAGGAAAAGCTTTCATGAACAGTCCAATTTTATTCTTCATATCATTTTATTCTCATGGATAAATAACAAATTTTTCATTAATAATAGATCTGATTTTTTCTTCATAAATAACTTCATAAATTTTTGTATGTATTAGGTAATAATGTTAAATAAATGAGTGAACGAAATGATTAAAATTCAATTTTTAATCTCAAAGAATTAAATTTTATAGAAAATAATTATCGTCAACGATATATCTTCTTTCAATCAGTTTGTAAATGTGACATACTGTAAGAATAATTGATTAAAAGAAAAATATTTAATTCAAGTTTATTCAATATTGGAAAAGTTTTATTTAAATCATTTATTTAATCATGTTTTTTTTAAATAAAATCATTTTTCGTTTAATCTTGTTTGGCATCATAATTTTCAAAATTATTATATGAATGATACAATGTCACAAGAAAAATTATATATAGTTAATTGAAAAATTTTTCAAAACTTGATTGAAGAATTACTAAATTACCAAGTTAAAAATAATTTTGAAAAATAAAAAAAAAGATAAAATAATGATTATTCATGAATAAAAGGAATTATCATAAAGTCATATCGATCAAGTTATTAGAAATGAATAATAGAAATATAATTCAAAATAAATAATAGATTAATCCACTTATGTTTAATGCGCTGAATTGATATGCTCTCTATCTCTTCTATTACAATAACGATTTAGTGAAACATAAGATCTTGAAGTGGAGAGCAGCACTCGACAGAAGTAGATCGGATTTGTCACGATTCCTAATATGATCGGTGGCGTAATAATTTAATAGCCATCAATCTACCACGATCAGTAAGAAGAGGATTACATGTCTGTTCTTCCTGCGGTATCCCAGAAAGCACTAAGGAGCTAACAGACTTAAGTTTGGTATCACGTTTCTGTCTATTGCTCTCCATCTCTCTCTGTTTCCTACTTTACTTCCTTCCTTTTCATATCATGGATTCACTAATGTTCTCATAAATATCATTGTCAATTAGTACCAACGGGAAATGGAAAAAAAGAGAATATTGAAGAATATAAAATCCAGATTTTTAAATTGTTGATATGAAAAATTTTAGTATCACAAAATAAACTTAGTCAATATGACTGAAACATTGCAATGCGAAAAGGGTGGTTGTACATGCGTTGTATGTACACTGAATCCCAAGTCCCAGGGCAACACTTTATCCTGCGCACTATTCATGTACTCGTCCTGTCCGAAAATAGTCAGTACAACGCGATGTCCAGTGCAGCTTTCTATTCGAATGAATTTCCTGGCCTCCAGATACCCACGGGATCTATCTATGTCATCGATTCTACCTCTAGCATCAACTATATTGCTGAATGTTTTAAATAATTATGGACATTACTATTAGTTTGATTGCCTACGATCTTTTTCAACACAAATGTTATGATTATTAATTCATTTTTTCATAGCTTTATCATAAATAATCATTTATGATTCTCTGTAATGTAATTTGTATTTTTAAATAGATGATTAAAGAATTAATATCATTTTATAGTGCATAATATCTCTTTGTCATTAATTAATAACGAAAAAATCAATAAAGCAATAGATGATTTTGATTTGAATAACTTGAGAAATGATCACAAAGTAATTTTTAAATCTATCTAGTAAATGATTTTTGTTGAAATGAAATAAAAAATTATTCAAAGAGTAAGTCGGTGGTAAACCCTGCAACTTTAATTAACATACTAGAATGATGACTGTTAAACTAACAACAATTCAAGCAAAAAATAAATATTTTGAGTCCCAAGAGTATCCAATCCGATTGAATGATACCTGACCTGGTAATCCCAGCTGAAGCTTTCTTTACTCCGGTGTAAAAAGGGAAGATGAACGAAAATCCAAGCTGTCCTCGACGTGAAATATGAGATGTGGTTTTCTCCCGGATTCGCTCTTGTTTTTTTCTCAACGCCTTGTGAGCTCTGTTAGCCTTGGTGGTATACGTCTTGCAGCACATTGAGACTAGTCTTATCCTACTTTTATTCTCTTTTTTATCCTTCTTCCTTGCTCTTGTTCTCGCGCTGTGGCTCTTTCAGTTCGCGCACTCTGGAGCTCACCTCTCGGGGATTTGGATTGGAGGGCAGGCATGAAGCCCCTAGAGTAGGAACGTGGTCGATGGAGACGAGAGGAAATCAATGCCTTTGCCAGGCTCCTCCGCCGACGCAAACCCGGCCCCACCTCGGAGGACCTTTACTACTTGCTTACTCACACCTCTAGCTTTTTTACTAGCAATCTAACGTCTGATTTTTCACTCTCGTTTTTTTTTACAACCTTTTTTTATTTTTATTACGTTCTGCATTACTGAAAACTCTTTTTGGCGAGATTATTGTGAAGTTTATTTCTAAATAGCCCACAGAATTGATTCAAATCATCGTATTTGAAAGAAGAAAATGTTACTTCTTGTAGAGTACATTTTTTTTACACTTCATAACGATCAATAAACCTTGAATGATTTTCAATACTTAAATCTGTTAATAACTATTAGCGAAACAATTAATTTATAATGCTCATAAATAATCGAGTCTGATTCAAGTATAGTTTGATTAGCAAATAATGTATTTGTAATTTTATTTTTGGTTTGTCTATGTCTGTATACATAATATTTTTATTAAATATTTATGGATACAAATTAATTTATATTAACATAAAATCATAATTGTATAACTCTGTATTAAATTAATACTCTAAAAATATTCTTATTCATCTCTAAATTATCAGTTAAACTTTTGGCATCAATTCAATTTATGTCTGACCAAATTCACTTCGTTCTACTTGTCTCTCTTAATGAACTTTTATTCCACTAAAAATTTCCAACACTTCACTAAACAGTTCTAATAGTATTCATTTAAAGTTATCATTAAGCAAATTTCCATATTAAAACTTGTGAAAAGAATGAAAAGATGATAAATAGGAGTGATATTAAGTGACTATCAGTAGTAGAGAAAGACATTTTTAATGAGTTGACTTTGGTAATAATAAATGATCCTTTCTCTTCCTTAGCGTTGTTTGAAAATTGATGACGGAGAGAAGATCCCTGAGTTAAAGCACCACCAATTGGTTTACAAGAGTCCGGGTTAATAATCTTCAAATTAATTCCCCTCAAATCTCGACTTATCTTCCACGCAAAATTATCTAAGATATTCATCTCATTCAATGTCATCAACTTTTCAAATAAACTCGACTCAACTTTATTTTTTTCGCATTGTCGTTTTATTCTCATCTTAAAAAGACATATTTTTCAAGAAAACGAAAAAAATGGGAAAAGTTTGAGTACTTTAGAAGTGATAAAAGTTTCTCAATGAAAGTACGTAGGACACAAAGGGTAAGAGTAGAGGAGATGAGGAAAAGAGGAGCCCTAAGATTTCTTGGAGTTTAATATAGTTTTAGGGGTGGCAATAGCGGTCGCTGCTCCGGGCATGTAATGGCGTCTTAAGTCTCAGGGGCTCTCAATACATATATATTTTTCCCTCGCATTTTTTTCATCCCTTACACAATTTCACCGGAAAATCGAGATTCGACGCAATATGAAAAATTCAAATCCGAAACTTCTAATACCCGAGCATAAAAAAAAACCACACCCTTATATAAATCTTTTAAACAATTCTACCTTTTTTCAATCTTCCTATTTTAATTTCTCAAGTTCCAGAGAATTTTTAAAATTCCAAATACCTAAATTCAAAAGTATCACACTCAGAAGAGTCAATGAATCTTATGTAAAGCCAGTGGAAGTGAAAGAAAAAAACTAGGGAAAAATAGTGAAAATAGAGCGTGTAGAAGTTCTTGTAGAAATAAAGACGATAAGGGTAACCTCGGTGCGAGCTTCGGACGGTTCTTGATTTTTACGAGCTCGTAAATTCCTGAAAGTCTTTGCTCTCTTCTTTTCTCCACGTTGTCTTGTTTTATTTTATATTTTTTATTTCCTTTCTTTTCAATCCTTGTATGCAACTCCATAACTTTACTCTATAAGACCATCTAAACTTGGATATTGTATGGCTTAAAAATTCTTCGCAATATATTACATTGAAATGAATATTTCGTCAACTAGTAAAACAGATGTGATTGGAAATAAAAAGAAGTGAAAATAAAATCGATGCTAATGCTAGGTGGGCTTGCATCGACGAGATTGAAGGTTCGATTAACTAGTTGTTTATGGCGCTTGTTCGTGATAGGATGCGTCAATTTTGACACAACGAAATACATCCATGTGTTTCTGTATATTCATTACCATGGATAGATATATGGTGCTTTTACATGTTCGTCAATCGAATAGTCGAAACGGAAAAGTAAAAAAAAAATAAAATAGAGAGGAAAAGTCCATTAATTCCAAAGCTTCTACTTTTTCTGAAGCTCTTACTCTTTCTTTGTTCTTCTCGTTTTGTTGCTCGTTGATGTTCTTTTTGTCTTTCTCTCTCCCTCATCTCGCCGGGTACATCCGTTGTCGCTATGGCAACGTTGGGGCTGGAGCCGCCCCCGGCCACCAATCAGAGCTCGTGGCCGAGATGAGAGAAACGAGCGATGAACACTCTCCAACCCCTTCTCTATATTCCAGTGCACTTTCGTCCACGAATTCACCTACTGAGTACTCGGACAAGAGATATAACCAACAGAGAAGAGATGAAGACGACAGAGAAAGCAAACTCGTTGCCGGGCTGGCTGTGATTCTCGCTTGGAAGGAAATCTTGACCGGGCGTGCCCCGCATCCTCGATTCATTGACCCCTCACGTCTTTCCTCTTCCAAGCTTCTGTACTTTAAGATATATTTTACCGTGTTATTTGGACTGCGATTCCACACGAGTGCTGACCATCTTATGATATATATGTTTATATCTAAACCTTTTACAATCCTTTTTTGCAATCTTCGCTCTCACTTGAATAGAACTCGGTTGAATATTTATTACTTGGCAACAGTATTTTCTGTAGACGTGAAGAGGTGGAATGAGACTTTTGGGGAATCACTAAATAATGTGGAAGAAACTTTACAAGTTGGGGAAATCTTGTTTATTAGAATTTCAAGTTGGTACTGGATCTTACATGTTGAAGCAAACAATCATGAACAATTAAATTTGTTAGGGATTTTTTGTTGACATGAATATTAATTACTTTTTACATTTACTAAACAATAAATCAACTATTTCTTAAACACATTTTTCTTTGTTATTACCAATACGAATAATTTTCTTTTAAAAAAATAAATTATCAACAATTATAAACAATAGTGAACATTATATTATTTTGATCTTCATAATTATATATTTATTGTCATTTAAATAAATATTCTGAGAAACTAAACATTACGTTAACATCAAAACAAACTTGAAAAAAAGCTTTAATTAAAAACTCTTTACAGTAGTATTACCATGTTTTGTTCAGACATGTCTTTGATATCTTCTGCTTTATATGCATATAATGACTCAAAAAAATACAAATTAAACTCTAGTTTACTATTAAGAAAAAATTTTCTAAACTTACATAACAAAAAATTCAATAAAATTTAATCTTCAAATTTTTTTCTTAGGAGAAAAACCGCACAAGTGTCAGGTATGCGGTAAGGCATTTTCTCAAAGCAGCAACCTGATAACACATTCAAGGAAGCATACAGGATACAAGCCGTTCGCATGTGAACTTTGTAATCGTGCATTCCAACGAAAGGTAGACTTGAGAAGACATCGAGAGACACAGCATGCAGATTTAGGTGCTACTAGTGTAACGAACATTACACATCGAGTATCACTAAATACCATCACCCAGAATAATCATATCTCCACAAATCCTCAAGTGTTGCAGTAAAATTTTGATTTAAATATATAAAATAGTGAAAGAGAAGCCAAGTGAAAAATTGAACCGTAGGAAATTTGCTGTGTTTGTGAATTGGACTTAATGCTTAATGCTCGTCAATAACCAAAGATTAGTTGTAATTGAACTCATCAGCGTAAATTTGAGCAATCCAAAGGAGAGATAAACCGAGAATTGTATTGTCAATTTACAAGTTGATAATATAAGAAAAATCAATTTTTATTCATATTCTTTATTGTTGTTTCATGTTTATTTGTTTTCTTTGAAAAAGAAAGATGAATCCTTTGATAAATCGTGATGTAAAATATTACATTTCCTTGAAAATGTAATGGAGGATAATTACAATAAATATTAATCTACTTATGATGTTGGTTGAAAGAAATGAAGAATGTAAATAATAATTTGTCCAGCATCAATCATTTAGTCGATTTGGATAAATTACTACATGTATAAATTAAAAAATAATTCTGTAATGTGGCATTATATTATTATATATTGAATATATATATATATAATATATATATATAAATAGTTAATACGATTGCGAGATAATGATAGAACAAAAATTCCTTCCAACTTTAATTTCTTCAGCACTATTATCTCGTCTATCATACTTCTTAAAATTGTTTTACTATTGATTATTCTGTAATTATTGTAATTAGTCATTGCTATTAATAATATTATTGTCATTATTATTAATATTATTATTATTATTAACAATAAATGCTGTTACCATTTGTAAAAATTGTCTTCTGTACGTACAAGTATAGGTATAGAGTGCATTGCCATTTTATTCTCTATAATTTTTTTCATATTCTTCCTCTCTTACTTCAAGTCTCCCTTTTTTTTCTTCTCTTCTCACGGGCTTTGAGGTAATTTTTATGCACATAAATTTTCCAGCTCTGTATTAAAGCCTGAGAATTTGCATAGAGCAATATATTCCATACATTTTCATGAACCTTTTTTTCATAATGCGAATTAAATTCGTGGAAGAAGTTGAAAAAATTTCTTATGCACCTGCTATGTATCGCCATATTTTTTCATAAATATAAAAATATAATTTAGTTGAAGCAAAATATTCTAAATGTTAATTGATTAAAAATAAATATAGATATGCGAATAATATAATCTATTAAACCAGTGCATAATAGGTTTTTTAATTTTAGTATAAATTAGTTCGAATCTTAACCACACACGAAAAAGATCGCTCAGTTTTTAAATAAGTCTAAATTCAAAATACACTTTCATTATTAATGTTTTATTATTATTCATATTTGTTAAGGCGTACTTTTTAATAAGTTTTATTATTAGTAAAGAAATAGTGAAGCTATGTGATAAATGTATATGTGACAAAGAATTAAATTTGTATCTTGATTGTTCTCAATTAATTATTGTTAGTATAGTGGACTAATGAGTTCACGAACAAATTAACGAGAAGTTGCTGTAATCTTTATTTGTCTTTTTGAATTATCGAAACGGGAATCCTGAAGCAAAAGTCGTAGCCAGTTACTAGTTAGGCAAACTGCCCCGTCGTTAACGATCCAATATGTTTTCTCTCCCTAGTAGAAAAGCTTTACGTTTAGCCTGAATGATCTTGAAGTAGTGAAGCAATGTGCACCCTATACATTTAAACCTTCCCATAAAGAGAACGTGGCAGTTTCATTTTTGCAAGTAGTTCGAGATTTTCTAGTGGTTCATTCCTCTCAAGAATCTTCATAGCCTCATGATTCTCAATGCTAACATTGGAGGGTGTAGGAGACTCTTTGGTTTTAGCTGGCTCGAGATGGCGTGCGCATAGACAATGACACCAATGACCCACACTACTGGCAGGGCAGATTGGACAGTTATTGCATTCTGGGTAAGATTAATTGAGCTGAGAGTATGGTATATACGGGAATACTGGAGACGGGAAGTAGATCATCTCATTCCATTCGAGTTCTCTAGTCTCTATAGTCAGCAGTGCGATCACCACGTGTTTTAACAGCATCAGTGAGTTGGGGACGCAGAAGAGACACACAAGATTCAGAAGACCAGTGATTAAATGATCTTAACAGAGAGAATCAATTTTACCCTTCACTTTTGTAATGATCACTTGTCATCTAGAGTAATTGAGCTGGAGTTATTAAATAGCCATAGGTCTGGGGAAAGTGATTATTACTACTCTGTCAATGTATTTTCCGAATCATTTAGAAATTCAATTTACCCCGAGGTCAAGTACTAGGAACATTTAGACCATTAAGAAGATTCTTCTTTATAGAAAGTACAATAATTAAAAAAAACCAATCACTAAATGGGATCAAAGTTTTTTATTAACTACAATAGTTTCTTGTTTTGGCATATTTATTCAATTTCAAAATAACTTATCAAATGAATCAGTCTCTGATATCAATAATTATTGTTGAATAATATAATATTTATACACATACTTGTATCTAAATCTTTGTAAGTCACCATCATTGATATTGTAATGAAAAAATCTATTTTTCATTGAATAAATATTTAATTCCATCAGTCACTTAAAATAATAAAAAAATTTCCGTACAGATGCAGAAAAACAACTCTACTGCAACAGATATAGTAGAATGATATACTTTATGTCTATTAAGATATTCACAGCCCCTTAGAGGCTGCCCTCTTCTTTTTGAAATATAGTCCTTGGTTCATATTCTCCGTTTGCATATATCGCTCTTATCTTTTTTATTCCTAAAACACAGAAAACGAAAAGAAGAAAGAGTAGGAGTTGGCAATGGTACCATCCCTGTCGTGTTTTTCATATTATTTACGAAACTCTTGGCCGTACGACATCGCGCAATAATCCACTCGCTTTCTCCATATTTGTCTCATATTCTCTGTTGGCAAATTGGTAGAAAACTGTATCCTCCCTCACATGGCTTTCCAGCTCTCTTGGGATACTCACTCGCGTCCCGATATGAACGACATTCTCGTGAGTAATGTACTACCTTGTGTCAACGATGCACGACGAAGGATTAAAAGACCGTAATTAATTCTTAGCTTTATTTATATGCTTTGTTTTGATTCAATGAGGTGAGATATTATCTAATTGAAAATGTAAATTTCCATTATTTTGATATTGTTCTTTATTAAATAGATATCGTTTAATTTATTTAAATTTTGCACGCCAAAAAATGAAGATTTAAAATCGAATCATTGATAAACAATCAGGAAAGAAGACGAAGTAAACTATTTATTAGTTGATAAAAGTGTCTGCTATTACTAACTTTAATTTTCATCGTCTATGTTTGGACGACAGTAAAAGAGTTTGAAGGAATTAATTTATATAAAACAATGAGTTTGGGCTTAGTTTATGCTCTGACGACGAACTTCCAATTAATTGAAATCTGCAATTTTGTTATCTTTTAGTTTTTAACAAATTGCTATTGTTATCAATAATATACAATTTTTTAATTACATAAAGTTATTTATAACAGTACTTGATTGATATTTATCGAATATAATAATAGTTAAAATAATTCAATAAATTAAAACCTATTTTATTTGTTTATAACAAATTCAATTGTATGTTTTTTGTACGTACGTATATCTATGTTGAAACCTTCTAATATGCCTTCAAATGTCTCAAAACTCAAATATTTGATAGACTTACGAATTTCTAAAATCAACCCCATCACAATAACTTCCTAATGGGAAGTTAATAAAGTGAGATTTATTCTGATAATCGTAAAAGTTAATTTTTGTTGAAGAAAATGAATAAAAAGTTTATTTATATTTAATTTTAGTATTGGAAATTTTCGATACTGAATGTTCTGTAATAAAATTTAGATTTTTCTCAGTCGATAAATGGAAAAATAATCATCAAAATAAAGCTTATTCCTCATTTTAGGGAATATTTATTCTTAACTCATTGTGATTGAAGATGAACTTTTATGGAATTAATTTTATTGACTTTACCTAGTTAAAAATTAACGTATAATAACAAGAAATATAATTTTTTTCGAAGTTCATAATTCTATAAATACTTTCAATTTAATCAAGTCATTTTTATTGTGATGAAAAATTTTAAAAAAATATGTGAATCAACTATTTAATCACTATGAGTAAATTCACAACAAAAACTTAGTATTTTAGAGACAAAACGATTTTCAAATAATTTTTAAAGCTGTCACATTCAGCTGAAAGTTAATTTTTCTGTTGTGTTGAAATTGTCAAAGTCAAGTTCGTTAAAAAACGGAAGTGACAATGAATTAGCTTTTTATCTGTCTGCTCATAACATAAACTTTTTCAACATGAAGGCAAGAGGTGTTATGAGTGAAAAGAGAAGTTCGGAAAAATGAAAAAGTTAAAAGAGCGCATCAAAATTGATAAAAAGCGAAAATAATCTCCTCCTAAAAAATTCCATTAGACCTGTTTTTCTCGTTCACAAAGTAGATCATATATGTAGACTAGCTGTGGGTAATAATTGAAAATTGACGTTGTTTTTAATCCTCGTAACAAATGGCAAAAGAAACATGAAACGACTAGATGATATGACGTGCTTGACGCGGAAAATCCTTGTGCAGGACTCCGAATAACGTGCAATGGGATCCAACACCAAATAGCTAAACGAATCAACTTGTGATGTCTGTCCAGTTCAGTGAGATTTAAATTTTCAATCATTTTTTCCCCATTTTTCGCTTCAAATTATTTTTGCAACATTTTTTGCATTACTTTTTTTGTAATAAATGAATTATTATTCAGCGCTTTTTTAAAGTTTTCTTCTTTTTTTTATTGTGATGAAAAGTTTAAAATATTAAAAAAAAAAAAAAAATATTTAACACTGACTATGTATTTTTTTTCATTAATAAGTTATGTATTAATATATCATAAATAAATAAATAAAGTTATCCAATAAATGTTAACTCTATCTCTAATTCCTAACAACAAAAATTCTATAATGATTCGAACATAAAAATTTTAATGACCATTTGAAAGTTATTTTTTCAGTTTGGTTTAATAATGCCTGACTTCTGGTTGATGTTCCGCCAAAAGAGAAGAAAAAATACAAGAACAAATGATGTAAGAAAAGGCACGAAATGTTAAAAGATAAAATAAATGGCATTGTTAAAGTAAAAGGGCTCATGGCACGCGCCAATGTGATCAGTCAAGGAATTCTCGAGGTCTTAACGTTGGACTTGAGTTAATAAAAAAAACTTGCTACGATTGATTGCCATCGACCGGAGTCGACAACAAGTTCTTATCCACAATCCTTTCACTAATAACCAATAAACAATAAAAAAAATTCTATTTGACTTGGCTTATATATCGTACGTAAATGATAAAATTATTAACTCCCAGAGGATTGTCTGTTGATTATTCCTCTGAATAAATAAAGTCTCGTGTCGACGGTCGTTTTCACGAGAGTGATTATTTGTCGGTTAGTAGCGTCCTGTCGTTTCCACGCAGGAAATAGACCCCGCAGGACTAAGATCCTTCGATGAACGAGCCTTAGTATATCTCATTCCCGTGCATTATTAATAAAACGATTCACCTTCTCTTAAATGTTTTTTCTCCTTTTCTGATCTTCACCAGCATCATTTGTATTTTTATTTTTACACTGCCGGTTTCTATTCTTTTCCAATCGCTATGCTGTCAACGTTCACCTACGGATTAAGCGTCGTTACGAAAAATAAGTTGAGTTTAGTACATTAGAAGGTGTATTCATTGTGGGATCTCTCGAGACTCTGCCGGTGCTTTTTAAAGTCAATGTTGAAGAGAGAGGAAATGAGATGGGTGACGGGACCACGTAGTGTCGTAACTCAGTTTCTTCGGTGTTGCTCCGATCGACGGCTAAGAATACTTTATGCGAAACGTTTCGACGTCACCGTCACTTCGATAGGAGAAGGGGCAAAAAGAGGCGGACTTTAAGTATTCTGTGTAGCGTGTGGACCGAGAGGACTCGACAAGGGACACTCACACCACAGTCTAGAGAGTTAGGGTGGACCTTTCAACCCTCTTTCCTTCCCTATCCTTAACCCCCTTCTTGATCCCTTCATCTCTTTTGCCTCTTTCCACTTCTTATGGCTTATGTATTGCAATCCACTAGTGTATTGAGCAGTGACACCAACGCGGATATTTTCCGCATAAACTTTTGATCCCACCAACTGCCGTCGAATTGCACTAGATGAAAGAGGAAAAAATGTATCGATATTCAAACGACTCTGACGCCTGTATGAGCGACACTCTCAAGATGTTCTGTATGTGTATTATTCTGCTGAGAAATAGAAGCAGTAAAGGAAGGAAAAATTTAAACTTCTAAATGTGTAGATATGTCGGTATATAGATGGAAGTATCTTTGCGAATTGAATTTGCATAGTGTCTCCAAATAGCCATTCGGCCAAATGTCGATTCTTTTATGCTCTAGGGAATTTTATTTCGTATAAAGGGACGAAAATATTCTGTTAGAATTACAGTAGCCGGTAAGTCGTGTGGGTTTTGCAGGTTGGAGTTAAGGAGACAGGATTATTTATTGCTCATTAGGTATGCATAGATGATTCTATATTATTGATGTCGAATATGAGGAATGAATCAATTTAATTGACTTGTTCAATTCGTTTTATCACAAAAAATAACTTTTGATAAGATGATAGATTAACATATTGAATGATCATTTATCATAACTAATTTTTTTCAATTATTATGCAATTATTTCTTTTAGTATCTTCAGGGATGTAAGGAGATTTTGTTTTTTCAATTGATGATTAACTTGTAAATTAACTTGTTTTACAGTTATTTATATTGGAAAAAAGTTTAATATTTGCTGTGAATTAATGAGATTAATAAAATTTAAATCTCAGTGTTGGAGAAAAATTAGTGTGGTAGAAGCTGTAAACCTTAAAAAGGAATAATTTATTTTCAAATGATAACTTGGAGCCGTGATAAGAGGCATAATGTATCAAGTCTGGTAGTATTGATAATTTGATATACACATCACTGATTAAGATCTCCCTACACGTTTTAGTATTCCTGTGTTTCTTTTTTAGTTTTCTTTGTGAACTATCTATAATTTATGATGGATTAATTTTATTGTAATTAATAAATCGATATTATTACATCTTATGGTGCATTTTTTTCATTACCCATAGCTAACATCTAATTGTTTAACTACAAATTCTTACATTAAATTAAAAAAAAATATTATCGACTGATGTACTTAATTTGGTGTTACAGCTTTATATATGATGATTCTTAATTCAAATTTTAATTCTTTATAAAGAAAAAAATTCCTTAAAACTTTCTTGTTGCAAACCATAATGACAATAGGAATTGACAGAAACTATTTTTAAAAAGTTGTCTAAGGCAAAGCATCAAGAATACAAATACCACTACATTGATTGACATAAGAAAAAATTGCTCTGACCATTATCATCATTCGATGATGATAAAAGTTCTCCAGTATATCACTTTAAACAAACTCTAAATACATCACAGCCCTTCAAGATCTTGAATATCATCAGATGCTATCAAGTCTAGTTTCACGTATCATCAACAGACTAACTGGATCCAACATATATCAGTTTACGATCAAAGAGGAAACAGTCTAGCTGACATCAGACAACTTCCAGCATCCACTCCAAGATGGAGCTATGGATGTAGCTTTGCAGGTTTCTCTCTCACCCCCTGGAGCACAGCAGTTGTTTCATCGATCCTTTGACCTATTATAACTAACAGTATGAATAACAGTAGTTCGCGTTGACCTAAACGTGAATAGAATAAACCAAATTCGAACATTTATTTTTTTCATCCGTTTATTAATCGTTGATATCAATTATAACATCCCACCGAAAGCACATAATGATATTTTTTTTTATTAATAAAATAAAAGAAAAATTATCAACCATATTTCATTTATTATCTCTTAATAGTTCATACAAAATTCATTGAATAATTTTAGACAATATTAAAACGACAAATAAAATTTATTGAATCGCCAGTACAATATATAATGATCATAATAATAGTAATAATAATAATAATTAATATTATATCTTAATTTATCGCAACTAAGTTTATCACCTCGCGCGTGATACTTTGAATGAATTTACTTACAATCGAGTCATATAAGGGCAGAATTATTGCGAGATACGTACAGAGCCTAATTTACAAGACGTTTGATAAATAAATTCACTTATTTATTAATTAATATTATTATTAATAAAATTTATTTTATTTTGTTATTAATTTATATGTATATCTTGGTGATTTACTTTCGTGGATGAGTGATTGATCAATCGATTAGAATGATCGAGCATTTGGTAATCATCTAGCAGTAATAATTTAGCCGTTCATCTACTAATCTGATTGATATTTCAATGCTGCTGATCTTACACGATGAGAACACTAGGGGAATATCAAATATTTAATCATAGCGCTCTTCGGATCTTCTTTTGACTCCGATAAATATGCAATGAAGGCGACGAACAACTTACTTTCAGACAAAAAATCCTTCGTTTTATACAACGTAGAATAGGACTTTATTCTTATAGCATAAGCTTTTGATCTCTCTTATGTAATACATTTTTTTTATTCTCTCTTTTTTGTTAATAATAGCTTCTCATTTGTATTAATATTGAAACAATAAATGACAACAATTTATTACTGGATTATATGATTAATTGAATATTCATCAATTTTTTACCATTTTTCTATCTTGCTTCAAACATTAGAGTCTGATTTTTGCTAAATTATCACTTTTTAAATAAATAAATTCTAAACTACTTTAACAAATTCATTCAATACATATGCATAGATATATATATATAACATTTAAAATTATATTATCACAATAAATATTGTATAATAAACATTAACAAAATTTTATCTTTTTATTTTTAACTAATTTATCCTTACAATAATATTCACGTTTAAGAGTAAATTACAATTACATTTCTTCAGGCCAAGTGAACTTATTTATTTTTTACATTACATCAATAATTATTTTATTGAACAAATTTTTTTAATTAATGCAAATATTTTTACATATCTTAACAATTAACATAAAAATTAGTGAAATTTATTTGTAACTGATATTATTATCGGGAATAGTCTTTATATCGATTAGAATTTTTTTCAAGTCTCAATTCATATAAATTCGCCTATTTTTTATTACTTGTATTTAATCTATTATTCAATCTTTAAGTTAATTTACTATTATTAATCCTTTACTGTTATTCATTATAATAACTTGTAAAAATTTTTGCATCAATCCAATGTTTTAAATTTGTCAGACATTATCATGATACTATGCTTTTTCGATTTAAATAGAATAAAGAACAGTTCATCGTTAAAAAAACATTCTCTCTTTCGAAACAGTAGTAATAATATAAAGAGAACAATCGTATTGAATAATTATCGTTATTTTCAATACAAACAAGCATTTTTTCGTATCATTTTTATTTTTAATCAACGTTTTTTTTTTTTAAATTTTCTCTTTCTCGCTTTCATTAGTAAAATTTGTAGTAAATAACTCTCATCTTGTTTTACATTCATGATGTGCGTGTTCACTTATCGGTCAAGTGTCCGTTAATTACGGCTATACAATGTTCGCTTGCGTTTTAACCATACATATATATATATATATATATATAGGGGTATGAGGCCAAGGGAAGAGGGAGAAGGATAGAAGGCAGGAATTGATGAGTTGGCATTATTCACACGATGCTACGTGATTCGCCTTCACGTGTGCATTACTAATCGTACACAGTGTTAAACGGTTCATTTGGCGCATTTGTTTTGGCACGAAGGTCGCATTTATTCAATACTACTTTATTAAGTATTTCAGATATTTTTTTTTCATTTATCAACATTTTTTTTCTTCCAGTGATTTTCCTTTCATAATTAATATTTCTACATTTCGTTCTTTGTCAGTTGATTTTGGCACGTTTGACTGTATGAAATATGTTTTTTGCATAATGAAATATTTAATTAATATGTTTTTCAAGATTTTTAGGGAATTACTTTTTAATATTTTTTAAAGAAAAGTTTATTATCAAAATTTACAATCCGCAAACATGCAGAAGTTGTTAACAAGAGATGGTGAAAATGCATCCTATTGAGATAACAAATGGGCTATGTAGAAGATAAAATAGAGTATATAATACTCTAATAGAGTACATGAAGGTTGAAAGACAAAGGAGAATTTAGATAAGGTCAATGACGTCGGATGATAAAGATAAAGATGTGATATTTGTATGCTTTTTGGAACAAATAATAACTGATAGCTTTAGAAACATATACAATGTAATAAGTTATCATATACAATACAATGTTCTAAAACAAAGGTGAACTTGAGAATTAGATTAAAATTCAAAAATTATCTTTTTAATAAAAATTAAAATTCTAAATAAATCACACAGTCGATAACTACTTTATAATATTGCACAAAAATTTTTCAATATTCTTTATCATCAAAGCTTTCATTATTTATTTTAATTTTGAAATTTCAAACTAATCATTTGCCAAATTGTATTTCTTAAAAATTGGTTGAATATTTGTATAAATAATTATAATGTAAAATGTAAGTTGGTCAATTCTTTGACCACATTGTACTGTTATTGACAATTGTCTTTAAAACAATCTCACTTTATTTAAAATCAGGCAATAATTACTTCTTCTCTCTATAATGAAATTATTCAAGATTTAAGATCAATAAAAAGGATTTTTTCAGAAACTAGTCGAATTGAGGATTTTCAATTGCCTTTCTATTATTATTCAGTACCATCATGTCTATCTATCTTGATGGCATCACCTATTAACCCCTCAGGAAGATAACAAGCCCGAAGAGAGTGTGTGTACCAATGTGCATAAGGAGAGAAGTACATACTGAAATTCAGCCCCAGGCTCTATCAGTGAATCTGCCCCAAAACCTCAGCTTTCTCCACCCACTTAATGTCCAAAGCATTAGATCTCAGATTGATGACTCTGTGTTGCGTACAGATATGTAAATAGATTTAATCTTGAATAAGTTCTCAGTTAAGAAGTAACCACTAACTTATTTCTTACACGATTTTTTTCAAAAATGCTTCTTCCTTCCAAAGTGAGATCATTTTTTAGATAATTACTTTCAACTTGCATGATTCAAATATTAATAGGTCTAGTGTGACTTAATACAATGGATGGATAAATAGTTAATCAGTAATATAGTAAACGTAAATACTAGAAAAAAACCAGAGACATGTAGGGATGTAACTTCTTCCAACTTAATCTTCACTAATTGTGAATAATATCAAAGCTTATTTTATTTATGACCCTGAAACAATATTTATAATTTCATAACCAAACTATCTGACAATTCCTTAGTAAAATTTCTTCTTAGCTATCATGTTAAAAAAAAAAATCTTAACCCCCAAGTAAGTAAAAGACTTCCTATTTACTGAAAATAAATATCAAGTTATCCAGCGATGGGATATAGCAAAAATACTCCCCTGAGGCCTTTAGAAAAATTGCTATGAATATAGAAATTCAAATTCTTTTTTTTTTTAATGAATGATTTTACTTCAAAACTCACAAAGTCATTAGATTATTTCAATAGATCATCTTGCTCAGATTTCTCTTATCTCAATTTTCCCACCACGATTATAAAATCTATGTCACATTTTCCTACTCACGTATTATGTACACAATAACCCAAGATAAATAACAAATATTGAGCTTTAAAAGAGCTTGAAAATGAACGGAAATTCATTTTAATAGGCCATGATATATTTGTTTAATAATCATTATCATCTTTAAGATTAAACTTAAACATATGAGCGTTGTTTCAGTATAGGTCGTTGGCTTGATTTTCTCAGACTTCTTTCGATTGACACGATCTGTCCTCTCTCTACTTTTTCTCAGCTCGCAATCACTTAAGATTAATGTTTTTTCAGTAGCAGACAACGCACGTAAATGCGGAGGAAGATGTCAGACTGAAAAATAAAAGGAAGAAAGAGAAAGGAACTTTGATGGAAAAACAAGTTAAATATAAGGAAGAAGAAGACAGTAGAGTTCTTGTCTAGTGATTCCTCGAGGCGTAAGATGGCACGTCCGCACCCACGAAAGGACCACTGACAGATCGATTGAGACTCCAGGCTATGTCTTGTGGTCTTTACTACTGTATGGAGCACGTAAGTGGATGAGACAAAGCGTGGTCCAGGAGAATCGGTGTGCCTGCTGCCAATTCTGTTCTCGCATCTCCACAGTCGTCCTCGCAATCAAAGTAATTGCTCTGTACAACAAATAAACAAACATTAATTAACTTTATACTTCTATTCATTTATAAATACAAAAGTTTTTTATTAATTTTTAAATTATAGTTTTTCAATTATTTTACTATTGTAAATATAAAAAATGAAGTGAAAGACTTGAATTAAAAATTTGTTTTTTGGTAATATTAATTTATTGTAAAAGAGAGAAATTTTTAAAAAGGTTTTTTTTACCATGATGATAATTAATTCAAAAGTAGAACGGAAATCTTTTCTAAATGTGGCTAAACTTTTTAATGAAATGGCTAGTGATAATAATGATAATAATAACTAATTAAAAACTTATCAATGGTAAAATATTAACGAAAAGTTACGCATTATAAAATAATTTATAAAATTTTAATGGAAAAAAATACAAAAATGTGTCCTAGAGAAAATAAAATTTGTTCCACAACAATTGATTTTATTTTAACAAGATAATAGATAAAATGTATTTTAAATTATTGTTTGTTTTGTTTAGATTTAAATATTAAGTGAAAAATAACATTCATGAACGGAAATCAACAATTATTAAAATATAAAATATTCAACGATTATATATTTAATTTATTCGTTATTTTATTGCCTCACTCTCGAGGCTTCAACTTCGTTGTATTAATGAATTACTTGGTTGTGTACAATTAATTTATATGCAAGTCTTTATTAGATTAAATATTTTTTGGACGAAGAAAAAAAACTCAATTTCAACCACAGACTTTTTATCTTAGAAGTACAGTTTTATTGCTTATATTTATTAACTTTTTAATGGCAAATTATTGTAATTCATTAATATTGTAATCTCAAGAAAAAATATTGATATTGTCATGATAACTTAAGTCTGATTAAATTTTTAACTAAATCCGTCAAGCTGTTTTTTCGCAGAATAAAAAAACTAAAAAAAGACGAATTATCCGATTTTCACAATTCATCAATGTTTGTTTTCTAAGATAATGAAATATTTTTCCAATCTTTTATTATTTTCCACTTGAAAGTTATTTAAGTGAAACTTTTGGGTTGCACCTAAATCAGATTTTTTATATTTGAATTTTTCGTTTATTTATTTGTTAGAAAAATGATAAATTTCTCTACGTATACCTCAATAAACGGATTCGAATAATTTTAAGTGATTATCAATAAAAATATAAATGTCCACTTTAAATTCCATTTTGGCAATATTTAAGAAAAATTATTTATTGTAAATAAGTCGAAAAATAAGCATCAAATTCTATCAATAGCATTAAATGAAACAATACTTTAAAGCCAATCAATCTCAACTTTATTTATTTGTGCTTACAATAACTGGATAATGCAAATTAGCATCTAAATGCTGAACTATGCATAGTAAATAATAGTATTTAATAGTAGGACGGGAAGCGAAGAGCTTTGATCGAGTAGATCTTCTTGCCTCAATGAGTTATGATTAGATAATTGAAGAACGTCATTTTCTCGAACACTGATTACTTGGTAGAACTATAGGCAAGGAAGGGGCTTTCATGTTCCTCATATATACTTTGGACTGAGGTGGATCAAGATGGTAGTTCAGTCTGTGGGCGTACCAGATGGCTTGTAGACGTAGGACGAACGTTAGTTGGATGACTAATTTCATTGCCGTCGAGTTATTGACGTCGATCTATCGCTTGTAAGACTAACACTGGAGTTCACAGACTTGCAATTATAATGTTGGTCTCCGTGAAATTAAACTAACAATCATCTTACGTGGAATAAGCACTTTCCATATAATCCTAATTTTGAAAAATAAATAAAACTAGTAATTATAATTACTAGTTACATTTACAGCAAATTGTAATTAATTTTATAAATTATTGAAAATTAATTAATTTAAAAATAGTTAAAAGTTGTAAAGAATTAGTTATAAGGTTGCCAATTTTATTGTACATTGTTCTAATTGATTCAAATGGAAAGAATATTGATTAAGTTAAAAATATAGAACGGATATACATGTCAAAAACTGGAATATATTGAGAGAAGGTGTTAATTAAAATTCGAATTTATTAGTACTCTAAACTCTTTAGAAAGTATTTATTAACTGTTAATAAATTTTTTCAAACGATAATGAAGATATATGAGTTATTACAGGCGTGACCTATTTTAAAGAATACTTGTACAAATTGAAATATTTATTTCAGTGCATTAATTGTTTGTTACTACTAATTTATATTAGTATCAATGCTATTTATAAGAGGTTCATTGATTTTCTCCATTCATTCAGAACGAGAATAAATTTATATCCATACAAAATAACTTTCTCAATATTTCTATATAGATATTAGTTTTAGTTGAGAGAATTTTTAATAAATTTATTAGAAAATTATTTTAATCACTTTGAGTTAAAGTATTCCGTGAGGATCATTGAAAATTTATTGACTCTAATTAAATCATTAAAAGTATATTTGTTTTAAGCGACAAGTCCTTCAATATTAATTTTTTTCTGTTTCACATGTTGTGGTTCATTTTCTCTACTCAAAAAAAAAGTGACGTGAATGATATGGATCTCTGAGAAAAAAATGAATTAAAGAAAAAGCAAAAAAGTGTTAGATAGTATTAGAACGATAAATCACTTGGCATTCAATGCATCGGCAGCTGTCTGTAAGAGAACACGTAAGTCCAAGGATTTCAACGGCTTCCTTATAAAGCTCTGCACTGGATTTCCGTTGTCTAGGTGGTGGGCTTCGTGTACTTGACGGTTGACTGAGTGTGATGCTGTTATTTCTTCTCGAGTTTTTTACTCGTGACAATTCTCGTGACAGTGACGAAGTTGATGTTATTCCTCGTCGGCGACTGTGATTGTCATCAGTAATTAAAGCTCGGCCGGCAGGAGATGCAAATAGTTGTAGCATATCCATATCCTGTTTACAAAAATAGAGATTTAGTATCTAGTTTTCGGTTGATGGTTAAATGAATTATTTTTACGATTATCGTTATTGTTACAACCCTCCGTTGCAACATCATGTTTGTTCCGGACATTTGGGGGTTAAATTCGGGGTCAAAGGAAAACTGTGGGGTCAGATGAGAAGTTGAATGGCGCAAGCGGGCGGACAGAATGGCTATAGCTGATACGGGTGATCGTGTCGAGGAAGCCAAGTGGAAGGGTGCACGATAACCACGACGTTCGGGTTCCGGTTTCTCCAAGGCTATAGACGCCTCGTTTCTTCACATTTTAGTGAAACTAAAGTACCGATTGTACACCCGAGGTCGATCTAAGAAAATTACTTTTCACATTCTACCGCATATGTTTCCAGAATCAATTGTACAAGCCTCTGACATTTCCACGAGTATCTTATCAAGATAACAGATAAAACCTATTGATAAAATTATACCGACAAGCAGTTCAATGTTCTAAGGGGCTTTATTTTACGATTATTGCAATAGAATTATTTAGGAAAGATGTCCAAAATTAAATAAAGAAATTTATTATTGACTTTATTTAATTTCATGATCTGGAGCAGAATAACTGTAGGCTATTTAAACATAGTTACTATTGTACAAGTGTCAATAATTATGATGCGTTGTAAATAAATTTATCGCATATGTTAAAATTCTTTTAAATTTTTCTCAGAAAAAACAATAAATTTTCTGTTCAACTTAATCATAAAATGTTGTTACAGAAAAAATGATTTCGAATAATTTAAAAATACGTGTATTTATTTGTTTACAATATTAAAAGAAATCGTACGTTTAACAACATTTGTTTGAAAGAAAAGATAAATAATTTACATTTATTCATTCTTCTTTTTTGATTCAGCGAATTATATTAAATTAATAAACTTGATTTTATTTTATTTGACAACTGTACAAAATGAATCTTCATAAATTGGAAAATGAATTATAATAATCTCAGGAAAAATAATTTCACATGGTTATTGCTCTCAGTAATCAACACTCGTGAATAAATTTATTATTATAATGGATTAAATTTTTTTCAGTAAAATTGAAGAATGGTTTAATTTGTAAATAAGCGACAACTTGTTTGATTAATTTACTGAATTAATTTTAGAGTAAATGTATTTCTATAGCAATATAAGTAATATATAGATTTTCAGGGACAATAACACAAAAACAACAGACTTTCTTTAATTGCACTCTTGTGAAACACATCAGCCTCATTTATCACTGATCCAATACCATTTGGATTGGAGCCATAGCTAGTATATGGACGTCAAGTCTCCAGAGAATTTTGTACAACTCGATCCGAGTTCCATCGCTAATTGCACCTGGGAATAAAAGCCCGCTGCTGTTGGCTATATCACGATTTTTACCCCTTTCATTTACTGGATAGTTTCTTTTTTTTTAGCTCTTAACCATCGGCAAGAGCAGTTCTACTATCTGTACACATGCGCTTTCTCTTAATTTCAATGCTATTTAATTCACAAAATATACGGCTCCATAAACATTTTATCAATAGAGTACTTCGAAACCTTCCAAACATTTTTTAAATTAAATGTCCATTATTCAATATTTTCATTAAAAAATTGGCAAAGTAATTGGAATGTTTTTACTCTATTGAATAAAAATAAATTTAATAGGAATATTCGTAAACAATGGCATGAACTGCATTTTTATCTTTTACCTGATCGAGTATTTGAACTCTCTGTACTCTGAATTTTTTCGGTTTTTTTTTTTTAATAAACAATAAAAAATGATCAAACACATTGTAATTAAAATTACTCAAATGTTAATTAATTAAGTAAAACGATATTTGAACATTTTTGATGAATAAAGTGATACATTTAAGTGGTTGATGTAATTAATTCCATTAAAATATAATTCATGTTAAAATTGCAAAAAAAATTATCTGTTTTTTCACGGTTTATTCACTCTGCATACTCGAATATTTATCATGTCATCAAACAAAATAAAGACCAACTTTTATAAAATATGTGTTCTCTGAACTATATTTGTCTTGAGTATCCATGTAGTAATTCAATCGTAGAAACATTTACTTTAACTGAGACAGGGAGAAATTTCTAGATGATAGAGGAGCAAAAGTTGTGATAGAATTTTGTGAAAATTCGGCATTCAAATTTGATTAACTTCTCACCGACATAGACTCTGGTGTATGATCCAGTACGTATATTCCATTGGTGTATCCATAAAGCATAGTGTCCAGATCTGAAACAAGAAGACATAAGTGAAAAGTTAAATTAGTTTGACCGTGTTAGGAATGAGTAACTGTTAGATGAGTTAACTAGGATTGCTGCAGATTGTTAAATAAACATATATAACATAGACAGAAGTGAATAAACTCTATGAAGTGTATAAAGTGTATGACGCTGAAGAACAAGTCAGAGTAGTTTGAAAACGGAAATAATACCCTACATACACAAGTGTTGGTATACAGAAAAGCGGAAATTTTAGAAAGCTATTTCCTCGTGATCTTCTCTTTTTAGACTCAAGAACAATCAACAAATCTCAAATAGCTCTAGTAATGAAAAAAGTTGATCAATATATTTTGTTTTATTTTGGTTCTTTGTTTCGAAGTTTTTTTTTATACGGTTCTGTTTTTTGTAGTCTAATTTGAGTTTACATTTTTTATCAGACAGAATATTGACGTTAAGAATTTTCCGAGAGAGTTTAAAAGTTTTTTTCGAAAATTTAATAAATTCAGAATACCGGAACTATATTGAAATTATTTTCACTTACAAAAATTCTTCATCGATTTCAGAAAAGCTGTTAAGAATTTTATTGCTTGTAATTTAATCAAATTCGCCTTTCAATATTTTTGTAAATTGAATAATTCATTTTTTTAATTCATCAAAACACGTCGTAGAAAAAACAATGAATAAAAAAAATATATACACTGAAAATCTCATTTTTTAAATTCGTATTGTTTTAACACAGCTAAGAGTGTTAAAAATCGACATTTGCAGTGTACGGATTAATTTCAGTGATACAACTCAATGTTCGATGCTCCACACATCAAATGAAAGAAATGCTACTTTAAATTGATTTCATTTTTTTTTTTCTAATAATTAACAAATTATTTCGAATAAAACAATATTTATTGTAAATGTATAAGATATGTTTTAATGAGTTTTGTGCTTCAGTGATGAGACGAAAAGTTCATAGGGATCAAATACTTATTGGATCAATAAACTCATATCATATACACCTTAGAAGAAACTTATCAACTGAACCAGTAATTTTACGGTAATTACACTATAAAATGATCTTTAATTTAGGGTTTCATTCTAATAACCATTAAATTTAAGTGTAATATTAATTTGGCGCTAATAAATCCCAATAGGATATATATGATGAAACTCATAAAGTGACTATTTTTGAGTGCATTCATTTAATATTTATAAAAAGAGCTATTACACTTGGTATCCTCTCAACGAATTATATTCAACCGGAATCGCTAAGGCAATCCCTCTTTTTGACGCTCTCGTTTTTAACTCAGTCTATGTCGTATTTTTTTACCTTCTATCTATTTTTTTTTTACATTCGCTTCGTCGCGCTCTATCTACTTTGAATCTCATTAAGTGAGATAACTTTACGACTGGACAGCTAGTCGATTCCATTCTTCCTTGCTTTTACTCGCACGAGTTTTTCCACTCGACGGAAATAGCGAGAATGAAATTATCATATCCTCCAGTGAGTCGGTTGGGCAAATATCCCGGGCGAGTTACTCAGAATGTAAAAATCGATTTCATGTTTAATTACTTTGTATTTAATAACTAACAACTGTACTTTAATTATAAATATTTCACAACAGTGTTTATTAGTGGAAGTGAGATTTAATTAAATTCGTCCTCTTTCGTTGAGATTTTTTGAACTTAAATTATTATTATTTTTTTTTTATATCAATCATTAGTATTTATATTTCAATATTTAATTATATTAGATAATTATACTTGTATATTTATATCCCCATAATAAATTAAAGTTATTAAATATAAGCTACTTATTGATGTAATTTCTTGATTTATTTTTGAGGAAGAATGAAATGATGTCATAATTAAAACTTGTTTATTGCTTTCAGCATCATTAAAGTGTAAATCAACGCAATTTTTAATAAATTTATATTTCAAACAATCAAGAATAATAAATTTTTGATTTGACATAAAGAAGTATTTATTCGTAAAGATAAATTTGTAAAATAACATTGGAACTAGTTGATGTATTTTTCTTATATTTGTTCTAAGAAATTGATTTTAAAAAGACTATCCGATGTTGGATTTTTGAATTGAAATAATTGCAAAACTGAATATCCACAATACACAAGTTTTGTTTATTTAAGATAAAGTTATTTGTATTTATCAAGAAGAAATATTTTTGCTTTTTTTACAAGTATTTTTAATACTAATATTAATATTTGTAGGATTTGTGTTAATACTGAAGAGACAACAATTTTATCGAAGTTGATAAAACGTGTGTATTTAGCTGGCTTAACTGCTAATATTTTGATAAACTCAACATTTAACTATTAATCGCGCTTACACTCTCTGCTTTATCCTCATCATCTCCTTCGTGATCTCAATATCCATTAAACTTAACTTGGCTTATTTATTTTTACTGTTCAACAGACATAAAATTATTTTTCTTTTTTGTGACCTATACAATAGAAATTTATTTAATAGCTTTTAATTGCAGTTTCCAATGAATCACAAATTTTTTTAGTCTCTTCTTTTGACCTCAATTTTGAGGTAAAAAAAATAAATAATAATTGATAAATTAGATAGTAGGAATAATAAAAAAAATCTTATTCAGGCAAAAATAATATTCTTATTTTATTTTTCATTGTCGGAATGTTTTTACAATTCAAGTACTATTTAATCTAATGACTTTTGTAAAATAATAATCATTAAAAATTTCAAACATGTTCTACCAATTATGTTGCCAAATGTTCCGAACTTATAAAAATTTTTCTCCATTCTTGTAACGCTTTAAAAGTCATCATAGTAAACGATGTAAAATAGATTCAATTTTCTGAGAGATCGGAAGTAATTACCAAGTTAGGTATTCGTCATGAATCGAAGAAAACTATCAACTTGGATTTATTACTTAATTTTCACTTTGCCCATTACTTCTTTATCGTACTATTTCCATTCGTTGCCTACTTCTAAGCTTTCTTTTTCGTTTTTATGGAATATTTCAAAAAAATTGAATCAATAAATTCAACATGAGTGTTCCTTTTTTTATCTATCAATTTAGCAGTAACTTTTATCAATAATTAACCGCAAACTGTTCGTTCAGATTGGGTGGAATAAACAAACATAGTTCATATTCAACGATTTCTATACCACTGAATTCTTTCTCACAAGAGTGATCATATTTTAAAAATAATGATTTTGTTCGACATTAATGAGGTCGTGAGTTTGGAGTTTTTTTTTTGAAGAAAGTTTTTAAAATAATTGTCTTGGAACAACTTGAATGAATTTAATTTCAAAAATCAAACAATTCAACGTATAATCGTAAGCTAAATGAATTTCCACATTTAATTTTAGTTAGAGAATTTTTTTTAAATCATCAGAAATAACAAGGATTTTTTTAAAATGTCTATGCAAGAATTTTTTCTAAAATTATAAGCCTTCATAACGACTGCATTTGTTGATAACTTACAGCTCGTTAAACAGCAATAGCGAAATATTCATATAAAAAAAAATAAAAAACGGCATTTTCAATGCGTTATACTGATTTCCATAGAAAAAATTTCTTTTTTGATCAAAAGTTCAAATTTTCGAAATGAACGATTTAAATTTATTTTTTTGGTTTATTTCTATGAAAATACAAAAAAATACTTCAATAATAGAAATCTTTCGATAAATAATTTTATAATAAAATAATTTTATTATTGAATAATTTTTTACAATTAAATTTTCAACTATTACTAAACAATCTGACTACCAACTAAAGGGAAAAATTTGATTCAATCAGATTAACACTAATAAAATTTATAATTCAATTAATATCAATTATAGTAAACATTTTAATCGCTTAAATATTGTGCACATTTGTAGACTGTAATACTCTCATCACAAACAGCAATGATTTCATTTGTAGTTTTTATTTATGAATATCGTAATTCTAAATAACAACTTTACATATGTTCCTATAAATTAATAATATATGAATTGGAAAGTATTGTTAATAAAAAAATAATTATAATATTAAATAATTTCAAGTGATCATTTTTATAACTTTTAATTTGATAGAAAAATCTGTTTTTATCCTTTAGAGGTACTGTAGTTGCAACTGTTTTTTTTATAGTTACAGAGTTCAATCTCGAAAATTTATTGCTGCTCTAGAAAATATTTTTCCGTGGATATAAAAGTTTTGTCTGCTTTAATTTAGATTAATTAAAATAAATCTACATCCAACATATATCCAATAAAGCAGTACTTAAGTCAATTATTTCGTAAAAATTTCAAATTCAAACAATAGGATATCACTCTTGTGGATTTTATTCTCATGGGTTCAAGGAAACAAAAATAAGATTTACTGCAGTGATAGTCTACTACTAATTTACAGAAACAAATATGCGGGAAAAACATAACTTGGAGTAAGTAATTCCGGTATCCATTTCATTAAAAATTCTGTTATTTTATTGACTCATTATTGCACTATTGTCACATTTATTGGGCGATTCTCAAGAGTACTGATAAGCACTGAGAATTTTGAGCTAATTCCCGCAAACACCATTGGTGATTTTACAAGTGGTTGAAGATAGCAAGAGCAAGAGGTTGATGATCTCCAAGAAGATCCGATAAGAAATTTCTTAAGGTGAAGAATCATGTGGAGGTCTGTAGAAAAAAATCCTTACGAGAATCAAAGAAAAATTATTTGAAAAATTCAATGATTTCTTTTCTCAGAGATGTTTCTAACCCTTCTCTAAAAAAAGATAAACTACAATGCTGTTCAGAAAAATTGTTCTACAACCATCACTGCTTATCTACTACTGAATTTTTTTATCCATGAATCATCAACACTATAAGCCCTGCTATATTTATAGGCTCTCGTTGTTTTTTCTACATGATGATCAATATTATGAAACTATCATTAAAAAAGGCCTTTTTCCAAATACTCTTTCAAACTGAATTAGTAAATCCCTCCAAATCATTAACTATTCATTAGTTTTGAGTGCCAAATTACTGATTCACTTAATGATT